GCACATTGGTGACTATTCTCCCCATGAAAGCCAGCCAAACAAAGGCTCTGATTCTCTCTGGGACCTCAAGCCGCCAGATGATCTTCCAAAATTTTTGTCCGGATCCGGGGGATGCTGGGTAAGCAGATTAAAGGCCGATCTCGTGGAGAACCGGCCATCTGCCGTGGCGGACCAGAACATCACATCGTCTTCATGGGAGAGCTTATCTACAGCAATGCTCAGGATTTTTTGGTGCACGTCGGGTGGCAGAATGTTGATGAAGCGGTCCGAGATCCATCTCCCATCTTCATCGACGAAGTCAGCAACCCGAGCCTCCTCCTGATCGCTCGGAATGACTCCCGTAGCCACTTCGCGCAAGGGAACCTGCAAAATCCACGGATCATTCCAAAATTTAGTGCGTTTACCGTTCTTAATATTCCAGGCACACCCTTTTTTCAATAAAGGGGCCGCTTTGGAAAAGCTGGACCAGGTGAAGGAACTTCCCTGAATAGGCCGGAAGATGCTTAGCCCGTGTCTTTGTCTCCCGTACTTAGCTTGCATAACTTGGGCCCATAGGGTATCTTTTTCATTCATCAGACGCCATCCACTTTTAGCTAACATGGCTAGGTTGGCTTGTCTCGTTGATCTTATTCCCACTCCACCCTGACTCTTCGGGGTAGTCATCTTCTCCCAAGCCACCAAATGCATCTTGCTCTTGTCAGCCTCATCCCCCCATATGAAGTCCCTATTGATCTTGTCGATGCTCTTGCAAACGTTACTAGGAATCAACTCCGTCTGCATGTTGTACACTGGAAGGGACGCAGCCACCGACTTTGTCAGAGTGAGGCGAGCCGCGAAAGACAGGCGTTTAGCCTTCCACGGAGCCATCTTCTTTTGGATGCGAAGGATGAGAGACTGATACCGCTCTCTGTTCACTCGCTCCTAGATCACCTGGATTCCAAGATACTTTCCGAGGGCCGTCTTAAGAGGGATTCCAGCTTGCCTACTCATCCGGGTCGCTTTCTGCCTGCTGATGTTGGGAGAAACATACATAATCGACTTGTCAAAGTTGACCTTTTGACCTGAGCTGAAACAGAAATCCTCCAGACATTGCTTGATAATCCTGATCTGACACGATTCCGCTTCTGCAAAGAGAAGAAGATCATCAGCAAAAAAGAGGTGAGTGAGTGAGGGGCCATTAGCAGAAAGCTTTATGGCTTTCCACTGCCCATCACTCACTGCCTCATTAATCCTGTGAGATAAACGTTCCATACACAATACAAAAAGATAGGGCGAGAGAGGGTCTCCCTGTCGGACTCCCCGTGAAGGGGAAATTGGTTGAGATAGCTCGCCTTTCCAGAGAATCCTCATCTTGTTTTGCTCGACGCATGTCATAATGCAGCTGATCCAGGAGCTGGGAAGTCCAACTTCCTTCAGGGTATCTCTCAAGAAGTCCCATCTAAGCCTGTCGTACGCTTTCTCCAGGTCAATCTTGAAGATCAAACCCCCCTTTCTGCCTCTCTTCTTTTCCAGAGTGTGAAGGACTTCCTGCACCACAATAATATTATCTGCAGTTTGCCTACCGGGGATGAAGCTGCTTTGTCTGGGGGACACCAGTTTCTTCATGAGAGGTTTTAGCCTGCTGGTCATAGCCTTCGTGAGGGCCTTTAGGCTAACGTTGTTGAGCGAAATTGGACGAAGCTGGGTCACTCTTTGCGGATTATCCACCTTCGGAATCAGCACTAGAGTAGAGTCTGATATCGCCTCCGGGAGCAGACCAGTCGAAAAGAAAGAGATCGCCATGTCTGCCAGCTTCTGGCCAACTACTCTCCACATTTGTTGATAAAAAACAGCATGGAAACCGTCCGGACCAAGGGCCTGGAAGGGCTTCATCTCAAAGATAGCCTTGTGAATGTCTGCAATGGTGAAAGGGCGCAAAAGAAGCAGCATCTCCGATTGAGTAAGCCTCGGGAAGGATCCCTTCGGCAGCCTGTCCTCATAGGGAATGTTCTCCTGCATGAAAAGGTTAGAGACAGAATCAAAAACCAAAAGAGCAAGGGAAGCGGGGTCAGTCACCCAGTTGTCATTGGTATCTTGGAGAGCTTCAATCTTATTCCGCCGCCTTCTAATGTTCACTTGTTGATGAAAATAAGCGGTGTTGCGCTCTCCAAATTTCACCCACTTGTCCCTTGATCTTTGGAACCAAAGAATCTCTTCCTGCTCGAGAATTTTGTCCAGTTCAGCCTCAAGCTTTGAGCGAAGCTTGGCCAACCCAGGAGCAAAGTGCGCTGCCAGTCTACCATAGACTCCTCTGATACGGGCTAGGAGCCGATTCTTGTTTTTCTGGATAATCCCAAACGAGTTGATGTTCCAACTTTGAAGCTTGTCTGCCAGATTACCCAGAGCATTGTGGAAGGGAGCTTGGGGGTCCCAAGATTCTGAGACAAAATCCTGCAGGTTGCTGTGTGTTAACCAGGCCGCCTCAAAACGGAAGGGGCGATTATTACTTTGATTACTAGGGTGCGCTGAGATAGAGGTCAGCAACGGGACATGATCTGAGTGGAGTCTGGGGAGATGAAGCACAGTGGTGTTGGGGAAAGTCTCATTCCACCTTAAGTTACACAAACTCCTGTCAAGTCTACTCGCTTTGAAGGTGTGAGGTTGGTCGCCCCTCGTCCAAGTGAACCTTGACCCGGAAAAGCCCAAGTCAATCAGCTCCGCTTGGTTGATCCTATCGTTAAAGATCCGACATCTCCTCTGAGTATCCGCGGCCGGGGGACCTGACTTCTCCTCAGGGGTGCGAATGGAATCACACTTAATGTTGAGTGAAAATTACCAAAATTTTAAGTTAATATGTAATGTAGGGATGGCAAAAATATCCGTAACCGTGGATATCCGCCCGAATCCGGCCTAGTCGGATAGGGTAAAACCCGAACCCGAAGGACATTTAGTGGGTACGGGTAAAACCCGAACTCAAATATTGCGGGTAATGGGTGGGCATGGATTTCTCACTATCCGATCCGAACCCGTCCGATTATACACATGCATATGTATTTTGTCTAGAAATAATCATTATTTTTCTCTAACATATTTTATATTTAGCATATAAATATAACATTTTCATAAAATTGTGTTGTTTTAGTTAATTTTCTTCATTCTAGTGAATTCTTGTCGTACTTTTTCTCTTATTTAATATAAGAATACGTGTGAATGTTAACATATTGGTTGGAGTTATGAAGAGAAATTAATATCCATGGATAACCGTGGATACCCGAAACCCGAACGGGTATGGGCATGGTTTTGATTTTCTACCCGTTTCACATGTGGATATGGGTATGGGTAAAACCCGAAGTACTTTGGGTTGGGTAACGGATATGCACTATCCGCCCCCGACCCGACCCATTGCCATCCCTAAATTATAATGATAGATAAAGGCTTAATTGCAAGTTTGGTCACTCGAATTGCTATAAAATTTCACGTTTGCCACTCAAATTAATTTATTCCATTTATAGTCACTCGAATTAGTTGAACAGTTCAAGTTCGGTCACTCTCCGTTAACCTCTGTTAACTTTGACTGACGTGGCGGTCAACTCTGACAGTTGACCGTTAAATGTGTGACGTGGAAAATAAAAAATAATTAAAAAATAAAAATTAAATTTTTAGAAATTACACATCATTATCACAAAAAATTATAATTATAAAAAATAAAAAGCCGAATGGAAGCAAAAATTCCCAAAATCACTTATCGCAGCTTCAGCTTCCCAATTTATTCATTACTGAAAATGGCAATTCGGACCACTATCAGTTCTCTGTTCAGCCCTGCTCTTCTCTTCCTGAGCCTCCTGTCCGCCTCCGCCGACTATTCAAACTCGTCGGCAGCGGCATCAGAAGCAGCCGGCGGTGGTATCGGACCATGCTTCACGTCACTGTTCAGCTTCGGCGACTCCGTAAGCGACACCTGAAACCAGATGCTGCTGGGTAAGTGCCCTCACTGTTGCTCCCTACCAAACGGCGAAACTTACTTCGGTCGCCCGACTGGTCGCTGCTGCAACGGGCGTCTCATCGTCGACTTCATTGGTAATATATATATATTTCACTTAACGCTAGCTCTTCCAGCGGGTTTTCTTAATTATACCTTGTTGCATATATACATTGAACTCAGTGTGTAATGTTTTTGTATTCGGATTTGGGTTTGAATCAACTGAGAAATTGGGGCTTCCTCTGCTGACGCCGTTTCCGGGAGAGCTGAAGAGCAGCAATTTCCGGTTCGGGGCAAACTTGGCGGAGCGAGGCGCGTCGGCCTTTGAAGAGTAGCAACGTACGTGGCATCGTGACCACGTAGTAGCGGCCGTCTCGGCCACCGATGGCGTTGCGGCCGAAGCCAATGGCGCAGTTGGCCAGGCGCTTGCGGTGGGATTGCCAGTTGGGGTCGCATCACCAGCAGTCGTCGATATGATTGCCCGTGGAACAAGACAAGTATCCCAACTTCCTTCTCGCCGTGCTGTTCCTAATGCTCCTGTAAACAAAGATTCATGGTACGTAACAGATTAACAGCTAATCTAAAGAGAGTGGGGAAATATAACGATTAATGGCTTCTATAATGTGGGAGATGGAGCAATTATGGTTGGGAAGGATTTTTTTTCATTTTTTATAATTATAATTTTTTGTGATAATGATGTGTAATTTCTAAAAATTTAATTTTTATTTTTAAATTATTTTTTATTTTCCACGTCACACATTTAACGGTCAACTGTCAGAGTTGACCGCCATGTCAGTCAAAGTTAACAGAGGTTAACGGAGAGTGACCGAACTTGAACTGTTCAACTAATTCGAGTGACTATAAATGGAATAAATTAATTTGAGTGGCAAACGTGAAATTTTATAGCAATTCGAGTGACCAAACTTGCAATTAAGCCGATAGATAAACAAAAAGATATTTTACCAAATGATAAGCAAAAATAATTGAGGGGGGGGGGGGGGAGGGGCGACTGGCGAGGGCTAGAGAAAGGAGTCGCAGTTTGTTCCTTCCCGGTTCCCACTACACGGCTACACCAGTCTTTGCCCTTCCTTTTCTCTATTTCCCTCCCGTATACTGTAACAATTGACAAACCCCTTTTTTTTCCTGAGAAAGCTTCGTTCACTCGAACTCTTTTCTCACTCTCGCCGTCTTCACTCGCTCTCCCGGAAAATCTCCGTTAAGCTTCCACCTTTCCTCCCTTCTTCTACCTTGGGCTTCCCTCCCGGTTGCTGCTTGAGCGGACATGGCTGGGCGTCTCTGAGATTATCCGAGTGAGTGCTCGCCCTCTTTACTTCCTATCAATCTCTAGCTCCTTGCCCTTTTGTGGGTATACTATGAATCTCTTGACTGTCTAGCGCGAATTTGATTTTGAATCTTATAGGGAGAACTGTTTGAACTTTTGAAAGGTAGCGGCTTTTAGGGTTTTGGTTTGTTGTTCTTTCTAGTTATCTTGCTGCTGTGTTCGGATGTGTTGGGGGTAGAATGTGAGTGGTAATTGGGGGGGTTTTTTTTTGGTGTTGGTGAAGGAGCTTTGCTTTCGCGCTTTAGTTTTGGATATGAGAAAACCCTTGTGTAGTTCAGTGGCCTTAGTGAGTTGAATTAGTTAGTGATTGCTGAAAGTCTCAGCTTTTAGCTTTAGAAACTTAGCTTCCACTCTTTTCTCACTGGTTTAAGTTAGCTGAATTCGTTAGTGATTGCTGACAGGCTCACTGGTTTTAGTGAGATGAATTGGTTAGTGAGTTAAAATTTGGAAAAAGGATCATGTGGCTCAGTAGTTTTAAGGACTTGAACTGGTTAGTGATTGTTGAAAGGTTCAGAATCCGAGTATTTTTCCGGCTATTTCCTCACTGTATGTGTTCTTGCTCTGAATTCTGGCGAGCCACACAATATCGGGTTGGGATGTGTATAGGTCTCTTGCTGTGGCTGATTCTTTCTATAAACCACTAATTGCTATTTTTTAGCTGAAAAATTCTAAGATCCTTCCTTTCCATGTTATATTTGCTTGTTCATTGATCTGTGTAATCACATTGTTGATTGAATTTCAGCATGAAGCTTCTATGGTTTTATTGCATTAAATCAATTGAAAGCTATCTCGAGCTTGTTGAATAAGTTTTAAAAATGACTGCAATGAGACCCTCATTACATTTCCTGAGTAGATACAGGCCTAGGGTAGATAGTCTTGTAGGAAGTTTAGATAAATGTTTGCCCCCCAAGAAAGTTTTCCTTGGTGCTAATACGAGATATAATTTCTATGCAGTAAATTTCACGAGGTCTATGCATGGAAGGGGTTCGAAGTTTGCTTAAGTTACTGATGCGAATAAAACTTTGCCATGCCACTCAATCCATCTACCAGTGCAAAATTTTGCTGCAAATAAGTGGATCTTTGGCAGTTTAAATAGGGTGGATAGCACAACAAATGTTTTTGGGGATAGCTATGAAAATCTTCTAGGAATTGGCTAAGGAATCACTCCGTGAAACAAATCTCCGCAATTCTTTGATGCTCAATGCTCTAAGAAGGCTGGAGAAGGATTGAAGTCATGCACCTTTTTCCATAGGAAGCAACAGGGCTGTAGTTTTGCTCATTGTGCAGAAGCTAGCATTCCCATTGGCTGGAAGAATGTTGTGAAACTAAATTCTGTGTAGCTATAGCATCTATGTTCGTTAGAGGAATTCTTGTAAGAGCTCATTACATGGAGCCGGCATTTGCCAAGAATGTAGCCATTTGTATTCGTTAAATATTTTGCTTTAACCAATAGAGATTTTTTCTTTGGTGTACTGCTATTGCTTGTTCTTTTTGCTGTTTGTAGATCTTCTTATTGTTCCAGTAGTTTGTGCGTTGAAACAGTGACGATGTAGAATTTTTCTCCATTTCAGTTTACTTGAGAAAACTTCTTTTGAAATTATTGGATAATTGCATGTCATATTTCAATGAACTCTTCTTGGCATTTAAACTCTCCACCTCTTCTCTGTGCTTGTAATATTATTGCCGATGTTTTAGCAATTGCGTGCACGTATTGATATCAAAGTTGCTATTATGAGACATGTACTTAATGTATTTTTTGGGAAGCGGACTTCCTGGTCTCTATGTCTCATTGGTATCCATGTGTTCTAAATGGTATTCTGGTATATGTAAATGTGTCGTGAAGATTTTATGAATATGTTGCATTCTTATCATACAGGCTGTGTGCAGCATTCAATGAGAGAAGGAATTGCTTATCACAAAATGAGCGGTGGCAGTGGTGGTCGAAAGCGCAGCTCTAAGTGGGATTTGAAAGAAGAGTCTCGAACTTCCTTCGAAAATAAGCACAGTGACAATTCTTGGTCCGGTAAAGCAGCAGGTACAACTTATCACGAGACTGATGGTAGTAACCGAAGCAGGTGGTCGACTGTGGAACCTAGAAGAAGCTCACATGGAGAAGATCTGGTTGATGATGAATTTGGCAGATCCTCCAAAACGATGGGTGCACGGGAAAGAGATGAAGGTTATGGGTCAAGTCGTCGCCACTCTCCTAATAAAGAATGGAAAAGACCAAGAAGGTTTGGTGTCTGATTGATGTGCATAAACCCTTGGTGTTTGTTGCTTTTCATAATGTCATGTCCTGAATGCGTCAAATGAGATAGTTAGTAGTTGGATTAGCAATAAAAAAATGAGTAGGTTTGTGGGAAATGTCTATTTTAGGTATAATTTTACGAATAAATACTTAACTAATGGACGAAATCAGAAATGATTTTCTTATATGGCTTTTAGCTTTTATTACTTTGAGGGGTTCACCATGATTAGTTTTTGTAAAAAGTTAGACTGGAGAAGTAGTTTGTTTCAGCTTTTTAGTCCGTTTTCTAAAGCAACTTTGTTCTAACTCAAGGACATAAACTTTTGTGACACCGTATCGGAGATCAAACTGGTGAAACTGATTTTCCTATAGATGTGTGATAGAAAAAATGAAAGCACACCGAGACAGTATTGGCTTGGTCTTTGGTGTGTGATTTAGCCAGTACAACCGCCCGGTATGGTACAGTGTCACAATTCCCAAATACACGGTCCATAATACATTTTCTGGATGGTTAAAAGTTGTTTCAACTCTTCTGGATGGTATTGAAGCTTTATTTTGACTTCAATATTTGCATATTTATTCACAGAAGCAGAAGCCGTAGCAGGAGTCCGATTCGGCGCGAGTCGGGGACTACTGACCGAGGTAGAAGCCGATCAAGTCAATCATCTCAGATATGCAAGGAATTTTCTGCTGGGAAATGCAGGAGAGGCAACCACTGTCACTTTCTTCACGAAGGTGGTGAGAGTTATGAAGATAGCTATGATGGACGGAGGAAAGCTCTACCGTTGAGATATTCTAATGACGCCGAGGATTACCCTAGTGGTAGTAGTGGACAAAGTACTGGAGGTGTGTGCAGTGATTTTCTCAAGGGATACTGCAGAAGAGGAGCATCCTGCAGGTTGTCCCATCCCGATCCCTCTGCTAAAGGGCCCACCACCAATGAGTTGATTCGGGAGAGAGATAATATCGACAGAAGGACCCACCGTGGCAGTTCTCCTCTAGATAGACATGATGAGCAGCAGAGTCGTGGTAGAGCTACAGAGACACCTTGCAGATACTTTGCTGCTGGTAATTGTAGGAAAGGAAGGAATTGCTGGTTCTCTCATCAGGGTCAACAGGTTAATTCGAGTCCTGAGAATAGGAGACCGAGGAATGAGAGGCGGTTGATGGAACCAATTGTGGACGATAATCAGGACAAAAGGTGGGATGGCTTGAAATGGAGCGACGTGGATAATTATTCGAAGTCAAGCAGGGATGTGGAGAAACCATGGAATGGTGAAAAATATAGCAATCGGGTTAATCCTTCAGATGCTGCAAAGCCTAGTGATGCCGGAACAACAGTCAAACCGTGGTCTTTGAATAATCCACATGGTCGAAGTTTGGATGGTCAAACCGCAAGAGATCATCACCAGTCACCAGCTAATATCATCGAGGGTGGCAGAAATGAAACCCTCATGGTGAAAGGGGGAAATGCCAGTGATAACCGTCACTTTCCTGAACAAAGTATGAATAATGATTGGGCAGGTGATATGGAGATGTCTCCTGAATGGAACTATGGACCTTCTAACCATATAGATAAGGGGCCACCACCACCCAGCACAGAGGTCTCAGCAGCCATCCAGCCATTGAGACACGATACGTCTTCCATTCAGCATAACTACTACTCAAGGGATACGAATGGTGCACCTAGAGAAGTCAATGGCCTTCATACCAACAGTTCTGGAAGCATCTTGGGTGCACCGAGCTTAAATCCTAGTAATGGTCTGAGTATGAATAATTTACCGGCTCTTCTTCCAAGCATGAACTCAGTTGAGCAAAACCGAGTGGGGACCGCGAGAAACCCTATGAGCCCGACAGTTATGAATATAGGAGGACAAGGCATCAACAACATGCAAGCTATGGGTGACAGAAGTGCCGCAGCTGTCAATTCAAGCTTAAACCCTAATGGTCCGAGCGTGAATGCTTTGCCCCCGCTTCTTCCAAGTATGAACACAGTTGAGCAAAGCCGATTGGGGAGCACTCAGATGAACCCTATGAGCCCGACACTGTTGAATATTGGAGGACAAGGCATCAACAGCTTGCAAGCTATGGGCAACAGAAGCGGGCAGGCTGTCAATTCGAGCATTCCTCGGACTCAGAACATGGTCAGTGATGGTCGGGTTGCTGAGCTCACCAACTCGATTGCGATGTTTCTTGCTCCACAGCTTTTTGCGGCTCCTAGCTCTAATCAAGTTAGTGTTGTGGCTCAGATTGCAAATCCCGAGCTCTCTGCTAAACTAGATCAAGCCGTTATACCGCAGAAGCAATATGACCCTATAAGTGACAGCATTGAACCTGAGAATAAAGAGAAGAGCACTGGAGATGATGAAGAAGCTCAAATGGCTGCCCTGAATGGTAGTCGAGAAGAAGCACCTAATCTGAAACCTGGTGCAGTCTCTGAAGTTGTGAAGGAAAGTAGTGGCAAGAAGGCTGCCAAGGGTGCCAGCAAAGTTAAGGAGAGTAAACCGGAAGAAGACGACGACGACATTGATGGAGATGCTAAAGGCGACGAGGGAAAGAAAAACAAAGAACCCAAGGGGATTCGAGCATTCAAGTTTGCACTTGTGGAGTTTGTGAAGGAAGCTTTGAAGCCCTCATGGAAGGAAGGGCAAGTGACCAAAGATTCTTACAAAAACATAGTGAAGAAAGTGGTGGAGAAAGTGAGTGGTACAGTGCAGGCTAGCAGCATACCCCAGACACCAGAAAAGATCGAACTTTATCTGTCGTCTTCAAAGCCAAAGTTGACCAAACTTGTACAGGTAACCTTCTCACCGTTACATCATTCTTTGCAGTCTTCTCACCGTTACATCATTCTACGCTCTTGACAAGGAAGCAATTCAATGTTTGAAGGTGAAGTACTATTTTTCTGTTGCAGGCTTACGTAGAAAAGTTCCAGAAGGGTAAATGAAAAACGGGGACGAATCCCTGAGGATGTTTGTTTCCATCAATCTTTAGCTGGCCATTTGTGACATAGCAGAGGATGATATAATCTTATGGAGATGTTTGTGAATCTATTGCCTTAATTTTCTCAACTAATTTGGGCTTTAGCTTTAATTTGCTTCTTTTTATTCTTCTATTTTATCAACTCTTAGGAACGATGGCATGTAGAGTCAGTCAAGTAAAACAGTTTTTCATGTTGCAAGCTCCTGCTGTGCCTGTGCTTCTTCAGTTTGGTTTAAGATGGAAAATTGATGAATCTCTTAATGCCTTAGGCCGTGTTGAGGTTCTTCTTCTTCTGGGTGTATGTTTTTCTGCAGATTGGATGGATTTCATTGGTTAAGATTTTAGATGGAATGGATTTACTGAGAGTGCTTCTTCGTGTATAAAAAAGTTTGATGATTTGAAGTCATTTGTTCATGGAGACTGCTTCTTGAAAATGCAGCACAGCTAAAAATTCAATAGTTTACGTGAGACATGGGTAGGTCCGTTCATGGAGATTGCTTCTTGACCTAGTGTAATTGAATTTTCATGACCCCCTAATATTAATAATTGATTAAAATACAAAGTATGGTAGGTCCGTGCAAATTTCAAGCCAGTGAGACGCGAGTTGGCTTTCGTGTAAAGACGATGTAAATGTGAGTTATAGGATACATAATTAATGAGATCAACTATTTATTACAATATAAACTAATTAAATGGGCAATGTCTATTTTTTACCCAAACCTTTTTCAGATTCTTTTATTTTAACCAAACCTATAGAAATTCTATTTATTATCCAAACGTATTATAATTTATCAAAGTCTGGGCATTTATTCTGTTACCGTTACTTATTTCGTCCACGTGAGAGGTGGGATTTTGTTTTGTTTTTTGATAATCTTTTTATTAAAAATAGTAAATGATGGTATTCTGACCGCCACGTAGGAAGTCAACTCATTATGGTCATACTTTGTCAACATTACTAACAGAAAAGTTGACGGAGAGTTAACGTTTGGATAATTTTTAGGAATTCAATAGGTTTGGTTAAAATAAAAGAATCTGAAAAAGGTTTGGGTAAAAAATAGTCATTGCCCTAATTAAATTGTCGTAAACATAGATCGTGTTATTCCCCTCAATATCCATGGTGGAATTGGCGACCACAGATCATCCAACAACAACTTTCGGCTGTGGCTTTGATGAGTGTCGTCCTTCCCTCCCCCAAACCTTTTTACTGCGTTTAGGTTGTTGAAAAACAAAAGGCACAGAGCCATTATAGGAAATGCATTTGATGGTACAATCTTTCTCAATTCATTTCCCCTCAAAAGGAAAATGGAGGAAGGAATGATTACCTCCTGTGCATGCGCAACCATACAAATGATAGAATTTGCAGTTTGTGGAAACATCTGGTTTTGGTAGCAAGAAAGTGAACAGCTAGCCAGCATTCCATTTTCTCATGAACAAGTAAACATAGGAAGCCCTCTATGCAATGCATGCTCCCACCACCGTCTGATGAGCTAGATCATCATCAGAGATGTTACTTTGTGCCAAGTTGTGTAAGGCCATGATGATTTGGCCAAATGCAGAGGAGCTATGTGTGATACTTCAAACATTTGTAATGAGTGTATGAGTATGTGTGCTAGGAAAATTTTGCATGTTCATGAGCGCGGATAATTCAAGCTTACGATCTTATTGGTGGGAAAAAAAACAATGTTTTTTTTAGAAACGAAAGGATGCGGAAAAGAATATATGGAAGAGCACGACTTGCCAGTTCGGTGTATCTTTACCACCTAGGTGGCACGTATCCGTAGGCTGAATGATGAATCCTCTACGTTCATCTAAGATCTCTGGTTCGATAATTAAAAATAGTATCTGTATTTATTATATTTATTTAGGTGTTATCTAATCCGGACTAGAATAAATAAGTGGATCTATAAACAATAGACCAAGAGTCCTTAGAGCTCATATTCTGCCTAGGAAATTATATATACTATCTTGTTTAAGTAAGGAGCAAACCCTAATCAGGAGTATATAACAGTTAAGGTTTTGGGTCAATCGGGTGTGCTACTAATGTGAGACACGAAACCGTAACTTCAACTGTGATCATGAGTATAAACAATATGACTTGAATCAACCGTTCACTTGAATGGTTGGAAACTCATAATATCAAAGATTTACCTTTGCCCTTCAATAACCAAGTTCAACCCATTTGAAATGGCCAAGGAGAAGTGAGAGAGTCATTTAACCCAATATAATTATATAGACTCAATTAAGTGGTAATCAAAATTACAAAACAAAGTGAAGTTTCACCAAAGAGCATAATAAAAGGGGTGAGAGAGGGATGGCTAGGTACATAGTGTAACTATTTATGGAGAAGCAAGAAAGAGGATTTGATCCCTCAAGCCAACCCTTTAAGAAGCAATCTAGCTAGGGTTTCAGTGCTTTGCTTTGATTTTGCATAGTTGCATTGATCATTATCATTCACTAGCCATAAGTATTAGATGCAAGCAAAAGTGCGTATATTCCCCTCCTCTTTGTGTCAAAAGAACGGGAAAAAAAAAAACAAAAAGCATTGAATGATTTTGCTTGCTTGCTAACATTCATTGTGACACACCATTGATAAACCCTAGAATATATATATGATGGCTTACCTAGGAGAATTATTACAGGAAAAAGTAACAATCCCCCTCCACCCAAAATTGCTAAAGAAATTAATCATACTTCAAGTATTAATAGGTGACTGTATATACAACAATGTTCTCAAGTGAGTCGATCATAAATAAAACATTTAATTTTATAAAAAATAAAATTTAATGTCTGAGCCCAGGTTCGAACTGGGGACCTTTAGTGTGTGAGACTAACGTGATAACCAACTACACCACCCAGACATTGATGTAAGTTAAACACACTAACTGCTACTAACCTGCAAGCGCCCACATGCAATAAGACTCTAATGTTTCCATCAACTTCTCTCAATTAGGGGTGGCTATTTGGTCCGGCCTTTTTGATTTTAACCGAAACTGGACCGTATAACCCAGATCGAGATCGGACCAGATCAGATAGCAAACAATCCAATCCCATCTTCGGGTTTGAATTTGAGGTAAAAAACTGTTCAGGACTGGACTGAAAACCGGATAAAGACTGGATAAGAGAGCCCAACACCCAAAACTTAACCTACTCCTCACCCTTTGAAGCCTCAGACCATTCAAATTCCCACAAGCTCAATCTAAAATCAAGACTGAATTGAGACCAAATTGGATCAAGACTGGACTGTACCCGATCCAATCTTTGGTCCTTATATTCCCGAAAAGACTGGACCGAGATCGGATCAATTTGAGCCAATTTAATCAGACCGGACCGTATAGCCACCCCTATTCTCAATGTATATGAATATGATCTTATCATTCCTGTTAATTTTTCTCTCTAATCTGTAACGAACTACTCACATTTAAACTCATTGCTAGTAGAAGGTTTATTTAGCTATGAATATCATCATGCATGTCTCATAAACAAAACGCGAGTCATGCGTCATAACTAATATTCTCAAAAGATCTAATACATTATCTTTCAGTAATTTCTAATGGATACTTAAATTCCACATTTGAAGGGTTGAACGCATCTTTCCCAAATGATGTTGGTGGACTTTGTTGAGATTCGTGAAGTCTACACACATTCGTAATTTCCATTAGTCTAGTACCCCTTAATCAACACACATACGTACCTCTTCACCACGAGGAATGACATTGGCTAATCAAACATGACGTTCTTTACTAACAATTGACCTCGAACGTAACATTAGTCAAGCTAAGTATCCCTTAATCAAGTAATTAAATCGTAGATGCAATCATCAATGGACTAGTCACTAGTTACCCATTTTCTGTGGTTGTAGCAAATTCGTCCACCTTAAAACGTCTTGCAAAAGAGTAGTGCTCCTGCTACGGTACCATTGAATTATTTTGCTCGTTATCAAATATACCTAAAAACATATATTAAGAACCAATAAATACATAAAAAAAAAAAATAATTAAAATACCTCACCTTAAAACCAATTATGACGACCACCGTTGCATTATTTATTCTCCCTAACATCATCTCATCATCTGCCCACAATTCCTCTCTTCTTCTTCTTCTTCTTCTTCTTCTTCTTCAACTCACATTTCCTTTCCTCTCTCTACTTCTTTTCTCCTCTTCCTCAAAACCCTCATTTCTCTTATGGACATCAATCAAACCCATCTCTGCTGGAACAATATTATCCATCACCAACCACCACCACCACAAATTGATCAATCCCACCATCAAACCTCAACAAACTTCCCTCCTTCCTTCCAATTAGACCATTTCCCATCCCCAAACTCTCTCAGCAACCAAACAGAAAAGCAACTCTTTTGTTTGGAAAATCAAGGGTCGTCTCTGAAGGCATGCAACGAAGAAGAAGAAGAAGGAGGTGAAGGTGATGAGGACGAGGAGCAGGAAACGGAAGAAGAGGAGGAGCTGGGGGTCATGAAGGAGATGATGTACAGGATGGCGGCGATGCAGCCCGTGGAGATCGACCCGGCTTCGATCCGGAGGCCGAGGAGGAGGAACGTTCGGATCAGCGACGACCCTCAGAGCGTCACTGCCCGACACCGCCGCGAGAGGATCAGCGAAAAAATTCGGATCCTCCAGCGGCTGGTCCCCGGAGGGACCAAACTCGACACGGCTTCCATGTTAGAGGAAGCCGTGCGGTATGTCAAGTTCTTGAAGCGTCAGATACGCCTCCTCCAAACCACGACGACGAATAATGATAGTATGACAACAATATCCGATCATCCTCCTCCTTCTCGTAGTATTACCACTAGACCAACCTGTTCGGTACGGGCGGATGGTTTGGGAGGGTTTCTTGGGTTTGGGATTGGTGGTGCCGCAGCTGATGGTGTCCACGTGGGTGATGGTGGTGTTGGTGATAATCATGGTTTAGTGTGCTTTGGTGGTCATGATGAGGTAATTAGCGATCCTTTAATTGGAAGTTGATCATAAGAGTAGTGTTTGGTAGATAATGATACTTATATATTTGTAACTTGTATAAGGCTAATTAAACATGAGATTAGAAACTTGGTTAATTGATATGTATAAGTCATTAGTTATAGTTTTGAGTGTGAATAACAATAGACATGCATATGGCCAAACAAATGTCTTTTTATGTTCGAACAACCACGATGATAATCCGCGATTAAATAATGTTGTATAATTGCGTAACAAAGAATTCTTTATCAGGCGATTGTTTAAGCATAAAGCAGTATGAGTTGTTACAAATTTGAAAGCGTTGTTAATCAATAGAAAAAAATTTGCACCTGGAAAACAATTGCAATGCAAAGCAGCAGTAAGATGTAAAGAACTCGGTCGTAAATTTCTTTTAACAACTCGAACAATTGAGTATATTAGTAATCAGTATACCATGAGTGTTTGTTTTATATGATGAATTGTTTTTATCAAATAATCATATGAATTGTAGCCTTGTAGGAAGGGAACAAAATATGCAATCAAAATCTGTTGTTGTTATGTGATGGGTTTGTTAGGATATTGTTGACCAAAAGGATTGAAATAAATAACAATAATAAATAATAACGGTTATGGAAATTGAGAGGGTTGTATATTATATGCAACTTCCAATAGAAAACAAACAAAAAAAATGCATGTGTATAGTAGTTTTTTTCATTTTTTATTTCCAAAGGCGATAAAAAGCGTGCAGTTTAGCCGGAAAGTTCTGTGGGTCAGCAGCTCTTTTCCCGGCGGGAATAATTGTAGAAAACCAAACACCCCTCCGACCTCTGACGTCATAATTCATGCATGTATGATGTATGGATGCATGAATTTCTTTTATGAAATTTTCGGATTTAATTTCAAAATTTGTTGTTGTTAACATCACCGAAAACGTCCGTACAAACAATTAAAAAATCAGCTATTAACACCGAGAGAATCCAAAATTAAACCAGCCGAGGCGATAATATCCCAAATTAACAATCACCGATCGAAGAAAGAAATTACCGACAACAACGAAAACATATTTACAAATTTTTACCGAACCCTCAGTTTAGGGTTTTTTTTGCACATGATCTCTTCACTTCCTTTCATCTCGATCTCCACCGGTTGTCACAAAGTTAGCAAAACGAATTATGATCCAAACCATATCCACAGCCTGCAAGCCCGCCACCGGCTACTCCAATAATTGGGTCGCCCAAAATGTCTTTCCATATATTATTCTCGTTCCCATGATGATGATCATCGTAGCCATGATGACCATCATCATCAGCCATCACCATCATCCCTCCGTTGTAATAGCCATACGGCGGCTGGGGATGACCAAAGTTGGCATTCTGTGCTGCTGCCGCGGCAACGGTTCCAAAAACTTGATGTCCCTGAACATACGGTTGTTGTTGTGGTGGTGGTGGTGAATCGTCAAGGATGTCATGTCCATTGTTGTCATTGAACCTAGTTGGATCCACATGACGAGGATGATTAGCACCAGCACCAGAAGGAACGACATTAATGGTGGTAGCAGCAGGAGCAGGATCAGGATCGTCTGAATATCGAATCGACCTGTTGATCATGTACTTCTCGGCCTTCTTGTATATCCTGCAGAGGACGTAGTCATCCAGCTGCATGCACCGTAAGAGAACTTTCGTGAGTACTAACCAACCACGCATCGACATAATTACTCGTTCGTTCTCTCTAAATTTCGTTGAGAAATTCATGTTTCGTCGTTATAATTTTTTTTTTTTTTTGAAATCGAGATCTCCGACGCACACCTCCAAAAATCGTAACCGACAAGTTATCTAATTGTATGTGTACGTACCCTCATGTCAGCTTTGTTGGTCCTAGGAGCACGAGGAGGGAGAGTGGAAGAAACGACTTTGAACTCGTGCATGATCCAGTTGGTCTTGACGCCCTTCGGCGGCTTGCCCGTGTAGTAGACGAGCGCTTTCCGGAGGCCGATGACTTCCCCATCCCACATGATCCTCTTGTCGGCGCCGGTTGCCTTCCAGTACCCGTCGCCGGCCGCCCTGTTCGGCCGGTCGCCGTTCGGGTACTTCCGGTCCCTCGGCGTGAAGAAGTACCAGTCTTTCTCCCCGCATTTGCTGTACGTGGCTATAATTTTGATCAACACCCAAAGAAAAAGCGTCGATTAGCCACAATAGTACTACTCGAAACCCTAGGATTTCATGGGTTGACATAGGAATCAAAATGAAGCCGTTTTGGATGAGTATCTCGATACCCATATCAGTCCCGTGACAGATTGGATCAATATGTAAATAAAAATGACAACGATAATAATAAATATGTAGTTAAATTAGTAGAGAAATTGAGATTCTCGCCTGTAAGCTAATAAAATTAAAAAAAACGTAACAATTTGCGCAAAGTTACATGTTATTTAGGCAGAAACGAATTGAAAATGAGGTTAGTAAGGGTGGGAGAGGAGTGTACCCATATGGCATATCTGCCTTGTCTCGTCTACGAGACAGGTGTTGCCTGCTCTTAATAGGAGATGATTTTAGCGGTATAAAATGATTTTTCACGATTTTTCAATCTTTGTAATCTTTCTTTCTGAATATGGTTAAACTCTAAACCCTAGCTTTCAAGTTTGACCTAATTTATGGCACAAATCAATGAGGGACCATACCAATCACCACACACTACGTACACATGTTGTAATCAACTACCAAAAAAGTAATTAAGTCAGGAAATTTTGAAGATTATATTAATTACCCGCCAACAATTAACTGATAAGTAACATAATTATAACGTACCAGCAAGAGTGTCAGGATCGTGCCTATAGAGATTAACCTCCATGATCTTGTTCATGGGCAGTTCTTCCCCCAGCACCTTCTTCTTCAGATAATCGAGGATGAGCTCTTCATCCTGAGGGCAGAATCTGTAACCCGGCGGGAAAGAATCGAAGTACTCATCATGGTTCACGTTATTATTAATAACATGATTGACCAGAGTTGATTCTTCCTCCTCGTTCTTGAGAACAGGAGCAGCCACCGCCGCCGCCGGCGGTGAGTCGGTACGGCCGCCGGGAGGGATTGTCGCGGTGGTGGGATGCATCTTCCGGCGGGGGGAAGAGAAGAAGGGGGAGGTACTTCTGAGTAAGAGCTCCGGCGAGTGGTTTAGTTCTGTTGGAAGACTATTTATATATATATACGGTTTTGATTTTGTTTTTTTTTTTCGTGTAGGAAAAATAATTTTTTGAAGGAGATAAATCCTTCTATTTGATTTTAATTTTTTTTTTTGTATCATCTCTCTGTTCGATTTTTTCTCAGAGAATATTCTTATTTTTATACTTAGTTTCAAACCGAAAAAACAGAAAAACAAGTTGTTACAATTTTGAATTTACCGCCTACGACCGATGATGCTTTGCATTTTTTTTTAAATACGTTTTATGAATGGGTTAGATTTAATTCATCAATTTACCAACAACAGATTTATTTTAAATATATATTACATTTAACATATAAATTATTAATAATGATGACACATTTGAGGTTGGACTAGAATACATTAATAGCCCAATGTCAATTCCCTGCGAGCTAAACCTAAACTTTTTAGACGGTGATTATTTATAAATTACTTTTAATTCTAGGTAGTACCAATTTTTACTATGCACCATTCTTATTTGCTAAAAGTGTACACATTCATTGAATATGAAGAGTATGCTCAATTCCCAAATATGGAATAACTAGTTTTTTTCTCTTCACTAGTTGCCTATCTTTTCCTAGCTAGTTCTACTCTGTCTTTCGTTTTCTTAATCTTTCGTTTTCTTAATTTCTTTCTTTCATGTATCAAATATTACATAAGGATTTAATTGAGAGATTGAAATAATGGAAGAAATATATGAACATCATCGATAACAAACTTACGAAATATCAGATCACCCTATTATTAAGACCAATACTCACTTTTGAATTAAAGTTAGAATTTAAATTAGTAAAATTCTCTACTCTCTAGTCCCTAATTCCTTCATTTGAATTCTCTTCTAGGTCACTCCAAAAGAAAGGAAACTCTCTTCTAGGAAGGTAAGATTTAGCAAACTTCATATTTCCATTGAATAGAAATGACAAGCTAACACAATTTTGTTATCTAAAACTATCTATCAAAACAATAATATTTTTGATGATTCGTTCAATTTAAACAATTTAAATTCCACTGATTTGGATTCTACCAATTTTCAATATTCCACCATGATTCTTTCATCGAACAACCGCTTTGATCGATCTTTGGCAACAGAACTACCGTTGATTACAAGTTATTATTATTTTTTTTTTTATGGAGATTACAAGTTCTTTTACTTACAAAAACGTTTTGAAATCAAAATTCCAACAATAGCTAGTACCAAACCGGTTTTAGTCTTTGTTGTCTCCTGTTTTAGTGAAAGATTATAGAGCACGAGAAAGAGAGGAACCACTAGGAAGAAAGAAGAAAAAAATAACGAGAGAACAGTAACATACATACACACAAAAATGTGCTCTCGTTACTGGCTTAGCTATACTTCCCAACCCTGTTATACATCCCTGTTCCCTACGGATCAATCGCCATGGGAGTAATCCGTTTCCTCGCAGCCTTGTTACTTGCACTGGGATTCGGAGCTGGAGCTGCAGCTGGCGCCACCAGTGGAATCGGCGATGGTATAGTCTTCTCTTCTCCAATCTTCTTTCCTACCGCTTCTGCTACTGTGCAGCAGGTAACAGCATCAGAAGGTGCTTCTTCCCTGTCTAGAACAATGACTTCCAGTTTCTTGCCAGCTGAGCTATTATTAGTCTCCTGAGACATGCTTTTCTTTGCTACTACTGCAGACATAATCACAAGCTGAATCGGAAGGAAGCTTTCGTCGAACCAAAGGTTCAGGGACAACAATATGATTAGATACCAATTTGGTCACTGAACTTGCCTATGTAGATATCTCATTAGGCACTGAACTCAGACGTTCAGGCAATTTAAGCACCAAATTCGTCCTGATAAATCACCTTAATATTTGTTTCCTACCTCCTTCAGTTTTTATTATGTAGCTGAAGTAACAGCATTTAACTGGCCAATTTGAAGCCCTCCACATCAGCAACATAAGGGCAAGAATGAGGATAGGGAAATGCTAATGGTCATTTATGAAGACGAGTTAGGTACTGTAGTTATTTCAAGTAAAAAGTCTAGTGGCCAATGTGAAACATACAAGCGAGTTCAGCAACCAATTCGTTACTTTTACAGTGGGCCAATGACATTCGATCCGACATAATAGATTGATGAAGGAAGAGGAAGGAAAACTAACCTTGGGGAGTGATAGGCGTGCCCAGTTCGTTGTTCTCGAATTCAACCAAGGTGCAGTAGCCATCTTGAGACGAGACAGCGAGAAGCTGGCCATTAGAAGACCAAGCGATGTCTGTTATGGCTGCATAGTGAAGACCAGCGAGAACTGCTACCGGAGGTGCGCTTTCGGTATCATATATGTATAGCGAGTTTAGAGTTGCCACCGCGAAGATCAGGCGATAAGGAAGCTTGAAGAGCCCAGCTGCATAGTTCAAGATGGAAAGGGAGCCTGGTCATTTGATCTATTTATGTACTATGAGGGAACAACAATAGCAGAGGATATTATTATACCTGAATTTGACCCCCTGAGGGTGAACTGCAAGGGACAGAATCTCACAGCTATGATAGGTTTAGAAGCACCAGGAAGTAGTAATGCCGGTCTGCGTTATAGCAGAGTAGGAAAATACAAAATCAGTAGATATGATCAGGGTTAACTGCCTATATGGTTGGACATTAACAACTGTCCCTAAATATCGCTCCACCTAATTTGCCAATTCGTGGATTTGCTTGAGTTTGGAGTTGATTTTGTGAGTTGGGGTTGGGGGTTGAGGTTGAAAGGGTTGGGTCCAGGGGGACATGGGGTGTTGATCGATTGATTTGGTGACATAGTGAGCTTATCTAGACGATAACTCAACCAAAATAAAGGAAGATTTGGTAAAGCGGCATTTTTGTTACAAATCATAAGTTTAGTTCGCATGATCTTAAAAAAGAGAGCGTGATGAGTGTTTCTAAGTAAAATATCTTGCCTGGAGAGATCCTTCCTGGAAAATACATAAGCTGTGTTCACCGTTTCTGATGAAGGAGAAGTCTTGTAGGAACCTGAATGAGAAATGGATAGGTCATGCAAACAGATAAAACCAACTATTGGAGCAGGGAAAGGAAGAAGAGGGAGACTCATATGCTCATACAGTCATACCTGCAGGCACAACTAGAAAAGAACCATCAGGAGACCATGCTAATCTTCGGAAGAAGGAAGGCAATGTTTCGTCAAAAAAGAGATGTGTCTTTGTAGACTGTAGGTAAGAGATAAATATGAGAATAAATAATTTAAGTGTGCATCATGTTTATAATTAAGAGGAATGGAGAAGGCTACTATCTCTACCTTGGAGTCATCCTTCGCCTGCTGCTGCTCAGCTTTCGTTATGACATGTTGGCAAATGTAACTTTTCTCAGGGACTCCTTTTGACTTTGTCTTTGTTTTATTGCAGTAAACTCTGCAAGTTCTATCTGAGCTAAGAGATGCAACGTACTTCCCCAAAGGATCCCAAGCAACACCTTGGACATAATGTAGATGAGCATCCAACATCTGATGAACACAGCCTAAAGAAAAAACCTATGATCAGAACATGAACTACCAAAGAATCACAACAGCCAGAAGATATAAAAACAAAGTTTTGTTTTTTTTTTTTTCAAACTCACCTTTGTTGATGTCCCATATGATGCATGAGTTATCAACTGACCCAGATATCAGAAATGCAGAGTCAACAGACCATTCCATATCTAGTACATCTTTCCGGTGAAACCTAAGAAAATGGAGGTTAATAGGGATTGCAGAGAATTCATAAGATCAAACTCGACTCAACAATTACCTAGATGGAAAGACATTCGAAGCAAGAGAGACAAATGACATCACAACATTTGCTTGTTTTCACCTTAAAGGAGGTATATCGTGAACATGGACCTTTTTACAAAGGAAATTAATTAGTTATTGAGATATTTGATGACTCTAACTTCTTTGTGGAACAAGTCAGGCAAAACATGGTTCAAATCAGAAAAAAAGAAATACGTTTTGATCATACTATTCACAACCACATAAAATGCCCTTTTAACAGACCACATCGAGATCTACGTGAGGGCTTGCTATGAATGACAGCTGCTGAATTGAGAAACTATTACATCCAATTTTATTCCAGTCTCTGTGTTGATTAGGGTGTTCCTTACACAGACGACAGAGGACAGTACTGTGGTTAAAGGGATTCTTTGGAACGGACTGAAATGTTCACCAGTTCGAAGGCACTACCTAAACTTGCTTGCCATCAGTGAGTCAAATATAAACAAATTATATCTTCAAAGCCTATGATGATTGACCGATGTTTAAACAATTCTCTAGGGGTGCTTGTCTTAAAGGCCAGGCATTCAAGCTGAAGCTAAAGCCACACTTAAGTCTGTTGCACCACGTCCGTAGCACTTACAGGTCATAGTAAAAACAAAACGGTATGTTCTTATAGATAGGGTGAACTCACGATAGATTCTTGAGAACTTTCCACACTTCCCCAGACTCTGTGGCATGTAATTTCCACAAGAGAAGCTCACCTCCTACACAGAGCAACTCAAAAGTCATAAATGATTGCTTTACCGAACTTCATTACAGAAATCCGAAGATCCGCCTTATTCGTACTCAATTCCAAACAGAAGATCTGACTGAAAACATACCATCAGCACCAGAAGCAAGCAATTCACCTGCAACAACAGGAAGCAAAAAGTATGAAGGGGATTCTTAATCAAGCAACTTAACTTCAGATTTAGCAATGTAGAATCGTCCTGGTTTGGATAAGTAAGACAGAAGGAAAAAATTGAAAAGCATTCCAATTTCTGCATTAGTTCCCAATTCCGAATCTAGGGCACACTTTTTTCGCAATTAGTCAAATTCAGTCTCGGAAAGTTCACACTTCTCTAACTCAAGAGTTTCAATTCCTAGCCTACACTGACAAATCAAACTGATTTCCAACTTCCACGCTAGTTCGAAAACTTACCACACGGAGAGAAGCGAAGGACATTGACGGCCGAGCCATGATACGAAAGGCTATTCTGGTAAGTAGCTGTTGGAGTTTTCTTCGGTGGCTCGCCCGAACTTATCAACCAAAGCTGAAAATTGAAGCGCCCAAGAAACATTAGCATTGAGTAACCGGCGGAAGCGAATCCGATCAGGAGGCGACTTCCCGGTGAAAAGTACCTTGATGTCGCAATCAGCGCCGCCGGTGGCGAGGAGACCGGATATCGGGTGAAAGTCAAGTGACAACACGGGCTTCATGTCGTGCCAGTTGATCTGAACTGTCCCGCCCTTCATTTCTTCTTTCTCTTTCTGGTTCTACCTCTTGCTGTTCGCTGATTGAGCTTCGGTTACTCTCTGGTCTGTGTTTTCCCGCGAAAGTGACAGAAATTTTTTGGTGGGATGGGAAATTTTTGTTAGGGTTTATCGGGAGAAGGAATCGGGTGTGGCGCGCGGGCTTCGGATTGGAGATGGCGGGAAAATTAACTAATAGACGGAGGGAATAGGAGACGACGTGGCATTTGAATGCTGCCGCGTGGTGGTGTTTGGTCTGTTGGGCTCGGCCTCACGGGCGGGGGGCCCAATGAGGACGAGCCCCAATATATGCAAGATTGATCAAATACAATACAGCCCAATGTATAAAATAAAATCGCTTTGTATGGAAAAACTTAATCAAAATTAACATAAATCCTCCAAATAATATAAAGAGGTTCTTGGTGAGAACCCCTTTCGTTCCCTTTTCTCTGGCTTATGCGCAGAGTTCGGAAGGATCTTTTGGTCTTTTGCTCCTTAAAACAGCCTTCGAAGCTCTATTAAAATTTAAAAAATTAGCCAATTCCATCCCCATTCGCAAAGGCCCAACACGTCTAGCTCAGTACAATGGAGCTTTATTTGCAAGATAAGCAATTGAGTGCACTTATTATTGTTAATCCAGGCGGGTCTCTTTCTTAAGTAAATGGAATAATAATTTATAATTTTGTAGATAATAATTCACTAGAAGAAAATTAATTAAAACAACACAATTTAAAAAAATATATTATATTTATATGTAAAATAACATATCATTAGAGAAAATAGTGTCTATTTACAGACAAAATACATATCCATGTGTATAATTGGGCGGGTTCGGGTTAGATAGTAAAAAAACCATGCCCACTCATTACCCGTAATATTCGGGTTCGGGTTTTACCCATACCCACTAAAATTCCTTTGGGTTCGAGTTTTACCCTACCCAATTAGGTCGGATTCGGGCGGATATCCACGGTTACGGATAATTTTACCATCCCTATCCCCATCTTACATTAAGCCAAAATTTAAAAATGTTTAGATAATGACTATATGAAATTTCCAACATATGATTACCTTGCTTGAGGATTTTCACTGAAGCTATGCGTTAAGTGGCTAGCTTCTTACTTGAGTATATTTGATACCCTAGATTAATGCACCTAATCAAAAATTTATGTTCATAAATTGTTAGTACAATTTTAGGTGTATAATCGAGTAAATTGATCATAGAGTTCTTATTAAAAAACTGAATGAAGGAATAATAAAGGTTGGTTAAGGTTACAAATTTGTAAACACTGTTGAAGATATGAATGACAAATGAGAGGATTTTTTTATCCAAGTCAAGTCTCAAAGAGTGTGGTACAACTACAAAAATTATTCCAAGCTACCGATAAAATAGACAGTTTTGTTATTATATGTTAAGCTTTAAATAAGTTCCAAGGAGTACAAAGACACGTTACTGGCAAAAAAAAACCCTCCAAAATAGCCTGCCAATTAGTGTGTATATTTGATTAATATATTAGAATTATTAACTAATAATTGAGTCATTTAGCAAAGGAAAAGTACTTGGACAATGATGAAGTAAAACAACTAGGTGGCCACTAAAAACATCCATAACTTTTTGAAAAGTAACAAAAATTAAAGATTATAGTTTTTTGAATCTCCAAATGAATATTAAGGTTTCAACCGTCTAAATAGTTTAAAGTTTTGAGAAATTAAACACGAATATGAAAATCGTAATGTACATATAAAATTCAAACAAATTAGTCATAAATTCCAATAAATTACTTCAATTATCCAAGAATGTGATAATATTTCATCATACCAACATACAAATTTAAATGTTATCTAAAAAATAAAATAAGGTCAACAAGAGGTTAAATCAAAGGAGGTTTCTTTCAAATTTGAATTACTGTACAGTAAACATTTCATATTTACTTCAATTTGATGTTGTTAATGGCAGATCAATTGCAAAAAAGTTCAAAACTGTCCAGTAATTTCTAACAACAAGTAGTAAATCAAAGTGCGGTTTTGCAATTAAAGGTTTGCATTCAATGAAATTCTACTATCATGAAAAGATGTTTCACAGTTCCAAACAGTTTACCATTAAATTTTTTGGTTTCCAATAAAATATAAGAGAAGAAGGATGAGACTATTGATAATGAATATAAAATTGCATTAATAAAGATGGAGTTGTGTGGAGAAAAATGATTTTGATGGCGAAGCAATCAAAAAGATCCAAAGAAAATTTGCAATAATTTCTAACAACAAAGAGTAAATTGAAGTGCGTTTTGAATATTAAGTTTTTTTATGAATTGGTTACTTGCATGAGTTTTGTTGTTTACATTTGATAAAGACTTTTGTCTATGAGTGTCAAGATGTTGTAAAACTGATGATAGATATTTTCCCCCCTAATTTTAGTAATTGCATAATTTGTGACTTTCCTGATACCAAATAAATTATTGGGTAACTATTATTATTATTATTATTATTTATACTACTGATTTGATTCATCCGGCCAACGGGCGGGCCCAAATCTAGTTATAATGATAGATATTCTTTTACTTAATTTATAATTGTGAAGTATTGTCAAATATCGAGTAATTTTATAGGAAGTGAGATTGTGATTGAATTTAAGGTATTATGAGATTTATTTTATAGACGGTATTATGATATTGAAATCAATATACACCAAAATATCGAGAAATATCGAACAATTAATTAAATAGAAATTAGAAATTTTGGTCATGCTTACACTTTGGCAATTTGCAAGCCCCATACTATCCAAACTTAACTTTCAAGTTTCCTAGGTCGCTCTCGTCTCTCACTAAATCTCTTGTTCTTTTAAGAGCATTAGAAAGTGCAAACTCTCATTAGTCAGTTCTCAGCCTCCATTTCATTGAATAAATTAACAATTACAAGAAATTTAGATATCACCATTTTATCTAATACCGGGAAAATAGATAAGACCGTTTGAAAAATCATGGTCCAAACCGGACCGAACAGTTTGGTCCGGACCGTGGACTGTTAAGTATGGTCTGGTCCATGGTCTGCATTATACGATGATTTGATCTCTTGGACTTATCTGGTCTAGACCGCGGTTTATCGGGAGCAAACCATGAACCCAGCAGACTTCTCAATACTTGTAAGCATCTCACTCGATCACTCTCCCAACTCCCACAACGAAACCCAAATCTCAATCTTAATTTTGAGAAACTTGTCTTCTCCTTCATTTACAATCACATTTCAGTATTTCACCAGAAAGTAAGAACGATCGTGTCTCCATATGAAATTATGTTAATGTTTATGACGTTATGCTGCAAGTTGGGATGCTTTGACTTTGTATCTTTGTTATTTACTGAGATTTATGGTGTCAAAACTATTCATGCATGTTGGAATTTATGTTTTAAGGAGAAAAAAAAAATTCTTGACTAGTGGTTCACAAATTGTTTATTTTTCGTTCAATGTGGTCTATCGAGACCGGACTGCATAGTCTGTGATCTAGTCTATGCTCTGGAACATAGACCATATATATGGTCCGATATGGACCAGACTGCAACGTTTCCCAGGTGTGCAACGGTTCGGTCCGGTTCGGTCCATACTCATAAGAACCGCGGTCCATTGGTGAAATGCATGTTAGGACTAAGGACCAGACCATTATTGCATTTGGTCTGGTTCGGTCCGATCCAAATATGAGCTCGGTCCACCATTTCTCCAGTAATTATAAAATTCATGAGGACCAAGAACCGGACCGCATTTTACTCGGTCTGATCCGATCCGATCTTAACAACGGTTTCGTCTGGTGTGGTCCGATACGGACCGGACCATTGCACACTCCCTACCCAGCCCTAATTTTTTTTTTTTTTTTATGGCCACCCAGCCCTAAACATATCCCTTATGTTTGCTTCTGACTTACTATGTTTGCCTCTGACTTACCTTTAGAAAAACTCAATACACTTTGTTTAGTTGCTTAGCCCAAAATGGTACCTGTTATGAATGCTTTTAATGATGTCTTTTATTGATTTCATTCGATTGAGACTTTGTTTTGTTTTTACTGAACTTTTTTTTCTCAACTCAATTGGAACTAAAAAACGCAGTACGGGAAGGGACAGCTACACCCCCGAGATCAATCACAAGACAGAAATCTCCTGTAAGTCAAAACACAACTACTGTATGATGATAATTCAATCTTACAGCTCTATGAAACCTGATATAGTGATATATGTATTCTAATGCTTCTAAAACAGCTTAGTATCTAGACTCTAGTAGAACAGGTATGCAGAAATTTGGATCCTTGTTCTTCTCGTATCCCCCAAAAAGGGAACACGGAGAATAAGGATAGTGTTACATTACAGAGCAAATTGCTCTCAGCAACTTGGGGAGATCCTTTCTTCATCTTCCTCTTTCATTTCTGGTCTCTTTTCATGCATGGAGAAATGGGCACTCACACAAGTTCCACAGTCCAATCCTTGTCCACAGGGAGACTTGGCTTCCTAATGGTTACAAACGAGGAAGAAGATCCGAGACCCCTTTCAAGCACGAGTGGGCCGAGTCCCACTTCAACCTTACCATCCCCGGGTTTGATCAGGGCGTTCTTTGGTCCGGGAGAGTGTCCCAGGAGAATGATTCTTTCGATGACAGTTTGAGAGGTGAATTTCGACTTCTTGTTGTTAGGGGTCAGGTCTAAAGATGTGAGCTTTCCATTTGAGAACACGAATCGTCGATGGATATAGGCTCCTTGCATGAACTCAAAGCTCTTCCCATCGTCGATGTAGAGCTCACCTTCAGCTGCTTGAGAACTGTTTAGAGCTATCACCTACACAACAGTAGAGACTCGGGATCAGACATAAAACCTGATGGATGGAGCATTATGCAAGAACTGACTGGTCAGGAGAAATTAAGTGCGTACCAGAGTGTAGGGATCATTGACCATCTGTGTCGAGCTCCGACGATAACGATCTTTCCTGGGTATGATGGTCCCAGCCTTTTGGAATGCAGGAATTCGATCTTCCAATGCCACTAGCTTGTGAGTTTGAGACCCCTTGTACGGAGCTCCACTCAAAAGGTCGTACCAGAGTTCATCGCCAGGTAGGTAAACTGAAACATGTTTCGCTCGCTGCAAAGAATGGCGTGTCAGTAAAAAGAAATGAAACATATTATGAATGTCAAGAAGAAGTTGTCATAATAGCAGCACCTCAGTGTAAATCCCTTGGACCAAGAGGCTGCTTCCAACAATGAAAGCTTCATCATTGCTAAAGGTAGCCTCGTCGGAAGGGAACTCCATCCAGAGAGGACGCATAACAGGGAGACCAGTAGTGTTTGACTCACGGAACACCGTGTAAAAATATGGAAGCAACATGTAACGGACATGTATGGCTTGTCTGATGAGCTTCGTATTTCGCTCTCTAAAATCAGTTGAAAGATGTCAGGAAGCATGCTATAAAATACTATAATGGAACAAATAACAGTAAATGATTTAAGGTTCAGCTATAGGTTCAAACATATCGTACCCAAATAACCAAGGCTCACGGCGTTTCGTGTCCTGATGAGCATGTGCCCTAAAGAAAGGGTAGAAAGCACCAAGTTGATACCAACGAACTAATAACTCCGGCTCCGGATTACCAAAAAACCCTCCAACATCGGCACCTAAATGGTAAAATAAAAGGATGAATCCGTCATAAAATTTTAAAAATGAAAAGATAAGGACTAATAAATCAGTACATATAAACAGTAACTTACCTGAGAATGATATTCCAGATAAACCGAGGGTCAAAATCATTGGAACAGATGCTCTCAAGTGATCCCAATCTGCCGTGTTATCCCCTGTCCAGACAGATCCAAACCTCTGGGTTCCAGCAAAGAATGCTCTTGACAGAACAAATGGCCTGTCTTTTCCATCTCCACGCTTGACAAGGCCATTTGAGGTTGCCATATGGTAGAAGTAGCCATACGCGTTATGCAATTCCCTATGCTCCACTCCCCCAAAATGCAAAGCGTCCCTTGGCATTGAAATCTGGCAATAGCAAACAATCAGCTCTGAACAGTTTCCCCTTTTCAATTGCAACCAAATTCAAATAAGCCTCATAAAGTGAGCAAAATTTGTTATGATGTCTGCACACATGAATAATAGAATAAATTATACTAACACAAATTTTTTTATGATGTATGCACACATGACTAACAAAATAAGTTATACTATAAAGAACAATTTCAAATTAACTCATAACTGAAGTCGCTGCTTTCACCAATTCACAAGTGATAATGAGAAGAACAATGTGGATATACACAGTACCCTTCAGTAGACAATGGCCAAAATGATACAGAAAACCAAGCCAAATAGGCAAGTCAAACCTATTCTATAAGACCAACAATGTTTCCATAAAGTTGAATCATTATATTGTTAATGGCAGATAAAGAATTTACAAGACCAAAGATTGATAGCTCCCCTCCAGACATGTTCTAACTCCTAAGTTGAATCCTATAAGATCAACAATTAGTCCATATAGTGGAAGCATTGTCTTGTTAATGGCAGACAAGGAATTTGCAAGACCAAAGGATTATAGCTACCTCCAGACATGCTCTAAGTTGAATCCTTTTGGATAAATTATGTGAATTATTAGTAAGATGAAGCCTGGCGGCAAAGTATATGCTGGGCAAACATGTCACAGTTCAACTCACCATCAGCTATTCTATTTAGCTTGATAATGCTTTCTGTGACGCAAAAGTTACATCAATTGGAATACTTTTACTATCAATTAATAACTTTTTACCTTATCCATAAACAGCCCAACAAAGTTACAGAAGCTAGAAACTGAGATTTCGTGCTAAGATTCTAGGCATTAGTTGCTCACTACTGATGAACAGGAAAAGCAGACGCCAAAGGTAGTTCTATTTAGTTATCGACTAGACAGTAGAATGCTTTCTCATGCTAAACAGAAGACCTCGAACACTAAAGCTTAGCTCATTTGTACATGAGAAACTAATAGATCAATGGTAAGCATTTAATTGAGCACAGGATAACATAATCATGCATAGGATTTCATTCTCTAATATTTGCATATGCTTCAGAATACAAAAATTGCTCAAAATGAATAAAAGAAAAAGGACAGATGCCAAGTAGCTTACCTCTGGGCCATTGAACACGGAAGGCTCGTTCATATCATTCCAAATATACAGCGACGGAGTCGAACCCTTATAGCTATCAAATCCAAACTTGTCACTGAACCACATCCTCACTTCAGGACTCAACACATCCAAGTAAGAAGATGATCCAGGCCAACACCACCCATCAAAGTCCTTTCCACTTGAATCCTTCACATAATACCCTTTCTCAGCAGCCTCCTTATGTATATAATAGTTATCATCCCTCTTAATATGAGGATCAACAATGGTCACCATTCGCCTTCCTTTGGCAGCCAACTTCTTCTGCATCTCCTCTGGGTGCGGGAACATAACTGAATCCCATGTCATGTACCTCTTACCATCCGTATGCTCGATATCAAGCCACAGAACGTCGTAAGGAATATCATGCTCGTCAAACTTAGCATCCACATTCTCCACGTCCTCCTCATCTCTGTAATTCCACCTGCATTGGTGATAAGCAGTGGCAAAATGTTGTGGCATAGCTGGCTTCCCGGTCACAGCTGTGTACTGGCTCACCACGTCCTTAGGACCCAGTCCTGCGAAGAAGAAAGCATCCACTATCCCTGCCTCGCTCATCCATAATGTATCAATTCTCTTCTGGTCAGAAGGGAGGGAAAGCCCTGAATCTGCATTCCATCCTTCGGACAACACATCGATCTGCATCTCAGCCGAGTTTAACCAGAAGAACCCAGAGCTCTTCCCACTTTTACCATGAGCAAACATCAATGGGATTGATCCATAGAGACCAAAGGGCGACTCGTGGAGATACTCAAACACATCCAAGTTGAATAATCTGTAAGGTTCGGAATATTCAACTCCAGGGCCTTTAGTTGGTTTGAGAGCTAAGCTCGTAGCATGCTCAGGCAAACCAGAGACGAATTCAGCATCATAAAATGATACATCGAAGCTGATTGACTGAGGACCATAAGGCCTGGTATCCGTATGACCTTTAAACCTCTCTTCCCACTCTTCCCCTTCATTCTTGACCCTCAATTCCTCGAAATCGAACAACTGATGCGAATTCAACGAAACCAAACGCGACTTACTTGACTTCTCCCTCACGTAGAGCTCAAACGGATCGTGTCGAAGAACAGCTTCGTACCCATCTGACAAATAGACGACGGAGGAAGGAGCTGAATCGCCGTCGAGCGTCTCAGTTGACACCCTCGAGAGCCAGAGCATGGTCTCGTCAAACTCGGAGACGACCACCTCGGGGACTTGGAACCGGGTCTTGGGCGGGTCGAGGGCCGGGTCTTCATCGATTTTCAGGCGCAGGATTCCGCTCTGGTAAATCGAGACGGAGAGCAGCAGAGGCTTGGCGATCTGGCGATTATCTTCTTCGCCGTCTTCCTGATTGGGAATCGGTCTAGGGATTAGCTTGGCGGTGAGCTGACCGTCCGAAATGGAGACTTGATCGGCGATTAGGGTACAGTAACCGGGTTTCCTTGACCGAGCGCGCTTGCAGAATGGGGTCTGATTGCAGTTTCGGAACTCGTCTTGCTTCCACGAGAAAGCTGTCTGCGAAGCGAGGGAGAGGAGGAAGAGAAGGAGAAGGCGACGGCGGCAGCCGCCAATCCGGGACGCCATTGGAAGTGTCGTCGATCGGAGTAGGAAATAGGAAAAAGACGCCAACTTTGAAATCAGTTTCGCAGGGGACGGCGATGGTGATCAACTGGGTAGTTTCAGATTGACGCCATTTTTCCAGTTCCTGCTTATTCTTCTTCTTCTCCCAGTCGACTCCAATGAAGTTCAGTTGCGTGATGTAGTAATGACTAATGAGCGACGATGAAGCTGAACCCGAGGGCGGAGGAGTTTGGATTCGGGTTGGGCTTTATTCGGGTTTGTCCGTACTCCGTAGTCAGACCCGAGCAGAGCTAATAATATGGGCCTAGAACCGAGCCCAAACAAACAGACGTAAACAAGACAGTTAACACATAACCACATCTGAATACATCACTTAACGTTCAACAAGTACTGTCCCTAGGGCTGCAAATGAGCCAAGCCGCTCGCGAGCAACTCGGCGTTCGAATCGGAAAAAACTCGTTCGATACTCGACTCGTTGTTTAACAAGCTGGCTCGCGAGCTGGCTCGTTAGTAAACGAGCCAAGCTTGAGCTAGGCCATGCTCGACTTGATAAGCTTGTGAGCTAGCTTGACTCGGTGGCTTGTTGAGCTAAGCTCGCGAGCTGGCTTGTTTAAAGCTTGTGAAAGGATTAATTACTTTTCTGAACATGAAAATTATCTTGTTAATAAGGATGTGTATGGAAGTTAGATGTTATTTTTAATTTTTAGTGTTGTTTTTATCATTTTTAATTTCTAATGTTCTTATTTGTACACATTTTTCAGCAAGAATGGTTTCAAATCGAGCTTATCTTGAGCCGAGCTTGTACTCAGCTTGACAAGCTGTGTTAATGAGCATTTACCGAGCTTTATCGAGCCGAGCTCGAGCTGGATTATTTTTAATCGAGTCAAGCTCGAGCTGGATGATGAAAATTCGAGTTCGAGCTAAAAAATTTATAAACGAGCCGAGCTCAAGCTAAGCAAAAACTAGACTCGACTCGGCTCGTTTGCGGCCCTAATCTGTCCCCCATCTGAATACATCACTTAACACATAACCAATGCCGGAAGGAGGGAATTCCAATTCCCTATTGACATCCCTATTTTCATCAAGAACTCGTTCACCTCGACGCAAAGAGCAGCAGCATGGAGTCGCTTTGCATGCCAGTGCCCGTGACTCCATCATAGACCAGCCAAATCAAAACTTAAAAGAACATTGATGATACAGATGGAACTTAATCATACTTAATTGGACTTCAATTCTGCATACAAAGTTCGGGGGTTTTAAATTCCCAATTTCAAGAAGGCACTCTAATTAATATAATGAATATTAAGATGATGATTTAAATCTAATGAATGGTATAAAATGTAATGGGTGTATATTGTATAGAAACATAAATTGATGGATGTGATTGCAATTATATTTGCAATTAATAATTAATTCAATTATAATTTAATTAAAAATTAATTTATAAGTGTGAACGCAGGCGTATAGCGCACGCCTGGTGTATGCTAGCCTTTGCCATATATATATATATATGGTGGCTACTTCGGCGCACTCACTTTTTTGGGTGCACTCAGTGCACCTACTCTAAAAGTGTCCATATTACATCAAATTTTGAACTTTAATTAGTACTCTCAATCTAATATGATGATATGACATAGAATCATAACAAAGCAATGGGCCGGGTAGGGTCGGGTTTTGCCAAACCCAAACCAAACCCATGGGTTTATTTATGAAAAAACCCGGGGTAAAACCCATTGGGTTTGAAAAACTCAAACCCAACCCAACTCCGCGGGTTCATGGGTACCCATGGGTTTTGTCGTAAAAAATTTACAATAACAAGTTCATATCAAAATAAAAGTCAAATATCAATCTCTCAATACAAATTATCCATATATAAAACACCATTCTAGAAAATTCTAGCAAATCACAAATTCACCATACAAATTGTTTAACACCAATCTAGAAAACTCAAGAAGATTGAAGCAAATCACAAATTATCCATAAACAATATAATTAATTAAAAGGTTCTTCCTCCTTGTCAATTAAGCTTCCTCACTCTCCACTCGATAATATCAACTTCATTATAGACAATTAGAAAGAAAAAATTAGACATGTCTCCACAAACATGAAGAAGATTAGTTGTTTAGAATATTAAATATACCGAAAAAATTAATTATATGGGTGTGGGCGGGTACCCATGGGGCGGGTTTACCTAAACCCAAACCCGACCCAGTGAATAGTGAACGGGTATAAACCCAAACCTAGTCCAAAACCCGTCAACACGGATTTTACCTACGTTGACCAGGTTGGGTCGGGTAGGGTACCCGTGGGTTCGGGTTTTGTTGCCATCCCTACCCAACACAACAAGACCAACACATTCTCTTCTTCTCCCCATCAGGAAAATAAAAAGGATTCACCTTAAGAAACTAAAGAGACTTAGTTGAGAAATGTCACATAACCTCCTCGGTTGTGCTTTAGGAGTATCGTCCGATTGTTTCCGTATCTAGGTTTAGACGATCAACATGAATCCAGTTATCTTCAACTAACCTTTGATAATCCAATAATATAATATTCGGGAAATTTCTTGTGCAAATTATGTTTATTTCTAACAAGTTGTATCAGACTCTATCATATTTGTTTGATTATTGGGGTTTGGAATACATTTCAAGCATTTTGGTTCGATGGTTTCTCGTAATTTCTTGGCATGCTAATGCTCAATGCATGATAATTGTTTCCTTCTAATTTTTTTCTAGGGTTAATACTTTGTTTTGGCCCAAATTATACACATATAATCAACTTTGGCTCGTGGTTTAAGAAATTAACATTATGGCCTTAACTATACAGCATATAGACTCAATTGGCCCGACACATGGTTTGATCGTCAATTTAGATGGTCAACACGCCCTGTCATTCACTACAAGGAAACAGTGTTTTAGCGATGGTTAAAACCATCGCTAATATATTTAATGACGGACACACAGGCGTCGCTGACCCCGCCGTCCTTAAATATTATAGCGACGGTTTTGGTCGACCGTCCCCTTGATCGTCGCCAAAATTTAACGACGGTCGGCACAATTTTTCATACCGTCGTCGTTAAATAAATATTCCAGAAATGATTGAAATTGTTTAGCGACAGAATCTGACCGTCGCTAAAAGCTACTGTATTTTAACGAGTCACCTGCTTTAATAATAACAACCCTACCCTGCTGTGTATTCTCTGAACATCAAATCAGCAATACACTATAATAATCACAAATACATAACTGTAAATCCATTCATAACCCTTTGAATTACCGTACCAAAAATATAAACCATCAATCCTTACAAAAATACCATTAAATCCAGAATTGTAAATTAGTCAAACCATTAACCACTTACAAACGTTCAAAGCCTACAATCTAAAGTTCAATACTATTTCATACTAAACTAATATATACCCCTGCAGCCCTTCATTAACTTGCAACCCTGCAAATTAACAAAATAACAACAAAGATCCCAGCACACAGGTAAAAATAGTTCAACATTCACTAGCAAACAGGTTTGCCTAGCAAAGTTCAAGGACTAGGATCTCAGAAAAGAGAAAACAAACATGAGATTACTCTTCACCGATCATTTGCTTGAATTGTACAGATTCTTTCTATTCTCTTGAGTTGGTTTTGTTCAATGTCTGGTGGGGGTTTTTTAGTACATATTCTGCCTACGTTGGAGTGGTATAAAAAACGGAAGAAAAGAAGCTTTTTTCCTCTATTTCTTGAGTCAAGTAGTACCTCTAAAGAAGTGCTACCCCTGTTGTCTCCGACCGCCAATCGAAGAGTGGACAGATTGCTGAGCAATGGAGTCAAGAGGATGTTGAAAATATATTTAATAAAAACACCCGTTAAAAGGCATAAAATCACAATTTCCTCTACAATTTCTTACATTCAAAATAGCAACTTACTTGTTCTACTAACATAGCCAGCTCCAATGGAATAGGGACATTCATGTGCTAAAAAATCTTGACAAACCACTCTTCATACCTCTTATTCTTCTCCAAGCTTTGTTGTAACTTAGACCACAAAATTTGCTCACTTCCAAAATCGGCATTTGATGATTCTCCGACATATCCAGACGAGCTATAACCAAAGGTCTCAGACGGAACAACACCATCCCCCATACCTCGCATCCTACCTGAATGTTCTTTGCCCAAAACTTGGCCTATAGAATCATTAGGTGCTGCTTGCTTTGGCATAGTACATGTTGCTTCAAGTTCTACAATTTTTTTCCTACACCAAAGTTCACCAAAAACATGAAAACAAACATAGTCATTAACAAGTACCAACACCAGCTATTTTTCCTTCCTAAGAGCCTTATAATGAAGTTGAATGGACCATTAGCTTAGCTCCGGCATCGGCCTATATTTTATCTATCAAAGCGGAAGCAGCATCAGCTACCTTTTTCCTCTGTTCACCAAAAACATGAAAACAAACATCATCACCAGAAAAGTAGAAGGGCAAATGTTCTTACACAAACAGCTCTGGTCGGGTTCAAATATTATCCATTTGGCCTTTTGTGAGTCTCAGCGAAAACTTGTCCTCTTGAAACATCTTGCCCAGTTGCCTCACTCTATATGATCAAATTAAACCAGAGAAATATAAGTTAGATAGGATCAACTCTAACTATATATAATGCATATAAAGAACATATCATCTCAACTATTTTTCTAGCAAGGGACTTTGAACCTCCTGTATGATTAAGCTGATATTCACCCGATCACCCCTATTTCTTGTATTCCTTATAGGCATATCCTTCAATGAGGAAAATTCATAATAATAGTTAACCTCCTATCATGGACAACAAATCAGAAAATTTCAATTTGAATAAAACAAAACAACCAAGCACACCTGAGTGATCTTTCTTACGCGATAGTCTGTGAAACTAGCTCATTGTTCTTTGGGAATCCCTTCTGGAGGGTTGCTGATGTTCTGCTATCTTGTCCATGCATATTTGTACTTATTTTTGTAAAGTTTAAATATGTGCCCCTTCCATTTGCTGCCTAAGCTACTCAGAATATATTTGTTTGCCCTATTCTTGTGTCTAGGCTTTTTCCTGCAAACATCAAATATTAAATACTTAATAATCCAAACCAATAAGTAGAAAACTCATCATTATTATAGGGGTTAAAGACACATTTGGTCACTGAGATTACTAAATCGGGACATGTTTAGTCATTAGAAAAAGTTAATATCAAATTTGGTCACTATAATTACT